GGGCACTTACAAGTGTAAGCCCTCCATGCACTTAAAAACTCCCCACTCTTACATTTTATGAAATTAAATCCTTTAAGAAAACTTTATGCTTTAAACACTACTTCTTTATGAACTTTCCTGTTTTTTTTTATATAACAAAAGGCTTGCTGCTGCCAAAATTATTGCAGTATAAAATAGCAAATTGCTATTTAAATTCAGAAATTGGAATGTCACTAACTGCACTTTTGCACCTAATACAATTACCAGCATTCCGATGACTTATCTCTTTTGTACTTCTTATCGATTTAACTATTAATTACTCTTTAATAGTTTCATAGTTGGTAGGGTCGGAAGGGACCTGAGCAGATCATCAAGTCCAACCCCCTGCCATGGGCAGGAAAGAATGCTGGGGTCAAACGACCCTGGCTAGGTTATTGTCTAGCCTCCTTTTGAAGACCCCCAGGGTAGAAGCGAGCACCACTACCCTGGAAGTTGGTTCCAGCTCCTAGCCGCCCTGACTGTGAAGTAGTGCCTCCTGATGTCTAGCCTGAATCTACTCTCAGTCAACTTATGGCCGTTATTCCTTGTTACTCCCGGTAATATTGCCTTTCTTCATTAAATCATGCACATACTGACTTAAAACTCCAGGACAGTCACTCTCAGCCAGGGTGCTGTGGCATTCTGGGGTGCTTTGAAATTCTTTCAAGGGTGCTGTGGGGTGTCACATAATGTTAGCACAGTTAGGTGTGCAAATACGATTCCCAAGATAAACCCAGAGGGAGATCCCAGTGTCAAAAAAACCCATGCCTTACAAAAGCGGGGTGGTGCACATGGCAGAAGCACGTGCCACCCAAACTAGAGCCTGGCCCGCCAGAGCCACACTTCAGTTGCTGGCCAGGCTCTGCGCACCTGGATCACCACTGCTGGAGCCCCAGGAGGCCCCCAGGACCCCAGGTGGCCTCCCCTAGCCAACCCAAAGCATTTTTCCCCACACTAACCCCATGTACAGGGGCATGTGCCAGGGCAAAAAGCAACAGCATGAATTTGTGCTGTTGCTTTTTTTTCCCCCAGCAACCACACACCCCTGCTCATGGGGATGCGGCCAGAGATTTCAAACAGGCATCCACAGCGTCAAAAGCATTCTAACCTGTTGTGGTCTTTCTAAGTTCTTTGTAACAGAAGACTTGCTCTATTATTTTTCTGTAGTGAACAAATGAATGAAAACTAAGAGCTGGCATTTTCTGAGACCTACTTTGAGTGTCATGAGGGGTTCCTTGAGCCTATAAAGGTTGAAAACCACTGCTCTAGGAGTATAAGGAACACAGGATATGTGTAAACCCTCTTCCATTCTTTTGCTTCCCTTTCTTAGAGCCTGACTGGGACCTGATTTCCCATCCATCAGTGACCCAGAGATATGTCCAAAAATGACTGGTCAACTGAATCTCTAATTTGGTTGAGCAGCGATTGAGGTACTGACCCAGGCTCTTAAAGATGCCTAACTCTCTTGATCCCTGGGCCTGATAGCTACAAAAAAACCCAAACAACAACAACAAAAATGCTCTGATTTCATTAATCTGGTTTAGTTAATTGGTGCAATCTTTTATACAAATAATTATTTCTTATTTTTATTAGTATTCTTTCCTCCTACTGTTTCATTTTTTAGTGACTTATATTGTTCTGGTTTTAAATCTGTTCCTAACTGACATAAATTGAAACAAAATGAGCCTGGCTCGCACACCCATTCACAATGGTTTAACTATATTGGTTTAGAATTGCACCTTGAGTTAATCTGGGTAAACAAACCCTGAGACAGTTCAGGCAAATCCAATGCTTGTATGTACACAGGACCAGTTAGGTGGCTGGCCATTCGTGCACTCATATACCCTGGGTCAGAATCAAATTTGATCTAAATCTGTGCAGCTGTACCAACTTCAATGGAACTATGTTAACCTACCGATAATGTGGTATAGTCACTGTGGGCAAAAATCAAGCACACATATTTGCATGTAGCCCCAGGTGTTTGATATACTGCAGATCTCACCCTTGCTATCCCCTGAACACAACTGGACTAAAGGTTGAGATGGAAAGGGCTCCTGCAGAAAATACAGGAGTGGAGGAAAAACCAAAAACGAAAAAAAACCCCAAACAAAATAAGAGATCATTCCACAAAAGGATCAAAATACTTGTGCTATAAACAAGAGTTATCAAGGAAAAAAAAGTCCTGCAGCAGTTAAAATGAGGTGAATTAAATGAGGATATTCAACCTTCCTGCTTCAAGGCACAAACAAGATCCTCATTTGCAGGACTGAAGAGAATATTTTCCTTCTGTCCCATATTTAACCTCTCCAGAGCTCAAGTCTTGAGCCAAGCAAAGTTCCCAGCAATGGCATTAAAGGGAATGTTTTCCATATGCCAGGAAATAGAGGAGAATAGGATGATTGTTTAGAATGTAGCAGAGATGAAAAAGGGAAGCTATGACAGAGATTAAACAATGAATGGCATACAGAAAGTTCCATTTTTTCCCACATACAACACATATCTTTTTCCAAACACTGGTTGCTGGAAATTGGGGTGTACATTGGGGTAAGCAAAGAAATATGGTAATAGCAGTTTCTTCAGCGTAACCTCTGCAGTAAAAGTAACCCTTTACTTTTATTACTCCATAGGGAGTAATACAATCAGCAAGCTGGGCTCCCTAGCAGTTGTTACTCAGTTACTTATTGCTACTTACCAGGAAAGTTTTTTCTTCTTCGTTCTGCCTTTCAAAAAACAAGGTCCATATCTTATTCAGTGGCATGTTATTTGAAAGAAAATATGGTAACTCTTATTTACCTGTGTTTAAAAGCAAGAACAATGGTACATCCAGAAAACCTGGAAGATTGCCCATAGGAAACGGAGAGAAAGAAGTTTAACACAACAGGTGAAAGGTCTACAGAATCCTTGCAAGGAAGTAACTGAGGCAAAAAAGATTCACTCAGTTGGTCCTCCAATGGATACTAAATGCAAACTGAAGAAACTCAGAGATGTACAGTAATAAAGCTTTTTATTATATTTACATAATGTGCTTGTTTCCTCTACGAGCAGGACGTTATACAGCATCTGGAAAAAAATTATTATCAGGAGCAGCTTAGAAACAAAGGATTGCGCCAAATGTAACAGGTTTTCATGAGTAGTAACTAGAAGCCAGTCAGATAAGGAAAAGATGTTGGAATGAGCAATGGAAAAATAAGGAGGACAGGTAACTGGGTGGATGAATCATTGCAGTTGAGGGAACTATTTGAATTCAACTATCAGTTCTTGAGTGCCTTTATTTTTCAATAAATAAATAAATAAATAAATAAAAATACAAGAGGCTTGCAGATCCCTTTAGACTTTCCCACCATGAAGTAACAGGCAAAGATTTTCATGGAATTTTCTACAGGGTCAGTCCTGTACTCATACTCCCAAAGAAGGTAAACCATGTGTGAATGGGAATTTTATGTTGTAAGAGAGACAAGGATCAGGCCATGGATCAGAAAAACTCTTGGCAGTTTCAAGTAAATTTTTAGACTATGAGGAGTTACAATAGGGACTCAGATACTTCTAAGCATTAGGTTACTCTTCCTCCAATGAAAATGAGGCTGGGGACATATCTAACCAGAGCAGAGCTGTGAAGGACCACTCCAGCTGTGCACAGAAGCAGAGCCTTTGACATAAAAGCTGGAGCAAACAGCTGTTCTTAATTCAGCAACCTGCTGTGAACTTGTGAGCCACCCGGATGTGAATGGTTCGGGTTCTTCTGTATATTGTTACAGTAATTACTTTAGCATTTATTTATTAATTAGTATTACTCATTTGTGTTGCACTGACCAGACATGGAGGCCTCAGGACTTTTGTACCAGGCAATGTATAAACATACAACAAAAAAGCACATTTCCTTTCTGCAAGAATTTACAAAGTATCAGATTTGAGATAACCTGTAGAGATTACTTGGTACCCACCCAGCTGTGCCCAGTTCAGCTATAACACTAGAAGTGTTAATCACATTTACCCTCATTTCTCTATCTTTATGTAGGACAGAAGCAGAATTGTCACTGATGGATGTAAATGCTCTTAAACTGGTTGACAATGACATTAAGGATTTATGAACAGATAATATAGTGTACTTAAATAAATCACATGTTCTCTGAACAATGGCAAATATTTCCTTTAGTTGTTCATTATTCACACTGAAAGCATGAGATAAATGCATTTGACTGGTATGTACCCAGTTGAGAGTTGACTGAAATCATTACAGTATTGTCGTTTCCATTCTCATCCCTAGGTTTCAGGATCAACAGTTCACTGAAGTGAATAGGGGCAATTTATTCTTCTCAGACTTGCTGGGTCAGATTCTCCGGACCATCCAACATGCCTCAGGTATAGCTGAGGGTGAAGGGTATGCTCCAAAAAAGCCAGTCCTGAGGCAGTGTCTGATATAGCTTAGAGGACTCTTATGTCTTCTTGAAGCTACAACAGCTGTGTAATAAGCTCAAATCGGAGTTCAGGGCCCAGCCTGTTTCAATCAAATTTCAAGTTGCAGCAAGTGAAGTTTAGGTTAGCTATTAGGAAAAAGTTTCTCACTGGGGGGGAGCAAAGCACTGGAATAGGTAACCTGAAAAGGTGGTTGAATCTCCATCCTTGGGTTTTTTTAAGACCAGGCCAGACAAAGCCTGGGCTGGGATGACGTAGTTGGCAACAGTCCTGCTTGAGCAGGGGTTTGGATTAGATGACCTCCTGTAGTTCCTTGACATGTTTCCTGGAAACTTTGTCTTAAGCACCCAGCTTACCTGGAATGCTGGGCTTGGCTTAGTTCCTCATAAACCCTGTTCCTCGACTTCCCCAGTTACCAAGTCACCTTTCCAGACTGCGCAGGCTGTGATTTCTAACAGGCTGGCTCTGGCCCCAAGATGCCAGTATGCCACCTGATAGTTGCTGGCACACAATAGCAAACCATTCTTTTTTCCCACCAGAATCCCCAAGCTAGATGCCAAGGAAAAGAGGCAGCAGAGAAATTCTGTATGCTGGCTGTACAGACACATGCTCCCCCAGAATGGCATACAAGGTGCTGACCTCTAAGGCTGAAGCTACACTTTGCACCTAGACCGTAAGTGCGCATTGTACTAAACCTGTGGAAAGTTAAGCAGTGTTAAAGTTACAACATGCAGTGAGCAGTGGCACACTAAGGGTTAATACTGTTTCTTGCCTGCACAGCTCTGACTTGCCATTAAGGAGTTGGTGAGCAGGGGTGTGGGTCTGAGCCAGGACACTTGTGGGGAGGAGGGACCTAGGAACGATGCATCCTGGAAGGATGAAGGACTGCAAATGGCTTGTTTTATCTCTGTGAAGCAGAGTGCAGGCTGAAGTTACCCTAACATGAGCCAGGTAGCACAGCCCAGAGTTCACGCCCTTAGTAGGGTCTAAGTGTAATGTGTAACTTCACCCTAAGACAGCTAGACACTGCAGGATGATGTCTGGGAAAGGTAATGCCTCTCCAAGCTCTGTGCAGCGGTGTTTCTCCTTAATTTTTTGCCCCAGCAAAACAAAGTCTACCATCAAATACACCCTATATACCCTTGTCTAATCCAACTCCTCTCTCAGATGTCTCTTCCTTTCTTTCTTGCCCTATTGTTTTGTAAACTGCATTTTCCCCTACATGTATTTTTAAATAATTTTTGGTTGACTAGGAATATAATGCAGACTGGCAACACTTCCTGGAGGGATGGGTATCCATAAATTAATGAACAGACTACAGTGCGATTAAGCTATAGCATCTTTATCTGTGACAGATATACAATCTTAAGCCTATATCTCTCAGGAGACCTACAATAGCTTCAAGACCCCATGCTTGAAAGAAAACAAGAGAAAGGAAATTGCCTATGCAGAATATTTCCACCCAGTGTACATTAAAGCTGCCTGGTAGCCTGCAGAGATGCCGCCATTATCAGTGTAAATTCACTTTGGAATGGGGACTCAGACTTGCTATGGGCAAAAATCAAGCTAGCTATACTCTACACTTGGCATATAGAGCATACAGTCTGTAGGTCTGTGGAACCTGTAATGTTACCTTATATACGTACCTAAGGGTCCACCAGCAGTGTGTGCAGCACATTTCCACTCTATTACTGTGTGAGTGCCCTAAGAGAGGGTTATCTTCAAGATCCACCTGTTTAAGGGATGTTGTGCAAACTATAGTCATAAAAACATAAGTTTAAGTTACGTTACATCAACAGAGAAATATAGCACTGGGCAATACAGTTTGAAAATAAATTGATAGCTAGACAAATCATGCTCCACATTATGCACACATGTACTTGAACGCTGATTGGGAAGCTCTCTGGCTATAAATATATTTCTTTTTTGCATTAGCCAAATAAGGCATCCAAGTGCAAACTGCAGCACTTTGGAAATTGGCTTGGATTTGTGGTACTGCCTGGAGTTCTTTAAGTCATTAAGGGTATGCTTTTTCAAAGGTGCCAAACATCTGCACTTTCCATTTTCTTCAATAGAAATTGTGGTTACTAAGCACCTCTGAAAATCCAGCTCCAGAAGAAGAGGTATTAGAGATATGGATATGTGAGCACATCATTTTGTTTTTAGCCTGTTTTTCAGATAGGGACCATCTGCAAATTTTAGAATGAGTTCTGAGCTTTCTCAAAGTAAAATGGTTAGATCTGTGGAGGATTTCAGGATACTTTTGAAGTATAAGATGCAGTAATCATGTAGAAGAGAAAATTATGGGATACAATATTTTGCATGCTATGGAATGCAATATGGGCTACAATATACTATGGGATACAATATTTTGGATACATTTTAAATGGCTTTTTTAAACACCATTTCCAAATATTGTGAAGACAACTGAAGAAACACTCACGTGGATTTCTTTGCTTTTAAAAATGCAGGCTTGCTTAATTATAGTGAATAATCTGACTTTTCAAACAGGAGGGAACTGTATTCCCTAAAGCCTGCTGCTCTTCACAAGTTATTGTCCTAGTCAGACTGCTTTCAATAAGCGTTTCTCCTCTGCACCTTCAGGAAAATGTTGACGTGACTTCTTAGCAGACCAAGAAGGCTTCTTTAAGGTCTTTCATAAAGCCACCTGATGGGGTCAAGTACAATACATAATCACTACTCAACCTGGTGAGACATTTTCTTTGCTGTATTTAAACACAAGATCAAAAAGATCAGAGACCTATTTCTGCTCTCTTCTTTCCTTGTTAGGGTCTTCATTATTTTTTAAGTGCTTTGGGATATACCTGCAGCATGAAAACGATACAGACAAGTCAAATTCTATTCTTTCCTATGCTCCAGAGAAACATATGTTACCATCCAACATATTAAGAGTAGAAAAAAAAGTCAAAAGAGGTGAACTGTTTTGCCAGGTGAGTCTGAGATTATGAAATGATGGATCCTTATGGATGGATGGCTGAATATGTGCATTCAGCATAGATTATTATGAATTAAGGGCATTATATCCTATATCTGATTTATAAAAATAAAAGGAAATTAGAGAGGATTCCCAACTGAGTATCCATGTTGCCTAACAACCACTTGGACAAGCAACATCATTACTAGTCACATGATGAGTTCAGGGACAAGTCTGGTCTAGCTTTTTGTTTTCATCTTTTCGTTTGGAGCTTGAATGCAATGTCAAATACATTTTAATTTCTGAGTTTCTCAAAAACACATTAGATTTTGTTCTTGGATGTCATCCAGCAATGAGACTAGGATGGTGAAAATATAATTTTAGCAATAGTTTGGTCATGATAACCATTATTTATATTTCTCAATTCAGGGGGTAGATTTTAGCCCGTTCATTTCAAATTGTGTGTAATAGACTGCAGTCTTTGTCTGAAACACTCTGCCACTATCAGAAGGGTCAATCCTTCTTTCAAAGGGTTTTTTGGGAGCTACCGACTCACAAATATCTCATTTACACAGGGACTTGTTCCTGATTAACTGAACCTAATGAATTCCCTGTGTGGACCCTCTTATTCCAGAACAAGAGTGCCTTATTTTGGATTAGCTTAATTGAGGTGGTTATTCAAAAACAAATGTTGTGATGTAAATTCACATGTTATCTTTATCTTTGTTCATGCTTCAATATAGATGAGTCCAGAGATAGATGCTTCATTAATCCTTCCTAGGTATGTGAGAAAAAGGACTGAATGAGTGGGCTAGGCACAGCTTAAAAGAGGTTCCCTCCAAACAACAAAACAATAAAGGAGATTTGGGGTTAATCTTGTATTACCTTATTGTCGGGGTTTCTTTTTTGCGGGGGGGGGGGGCAGGGAAGGGGCAAAGACAGCTGTTTTTCTATTTTGTTAAGGAACCAAAAGGAAGGGGCTACATCTGGAAGTTACAACTTGCACTTGTAGGACACATTGGGAGACACTTGTTCACACTGCAAAACATTTCAAAGGTCTGCCCACTCCAGTGGCCTCAGCTTCTAAAGAAACAATGTAGGAAACCAAAATTAACTGCCCATTGATGCAACCATGCCTGTACTCTGTGTGCTTGTGTCATAGAGAGAGATGTCTAAATGTACAGAGCTAAAGCTAAACGTAGCTGTCAGGTGGAACAGCTGGAGAACAACTGCACAGCAACATAGAGAGTACTCCCCGAGCAAAGAAAGGCAGCCAGCTCTGGGGTGGAACCTTTCCAGTGCTCTTCTTTGCTGTACCCCAGTTCCAGGTGGTGGAGAAGCTGTCTCAGCAACCCTTGTCCAAGGGGCAGCTTTGTACCAGCAATGATTGCATCCTTTCTTGGCCTGCCCTGTCACTCCCTGCTCCTCAACATGCACCGGCTTTGGATACAGATGAGGATGTTGTCATGCCTCAGTTGAGAGCCCTGAGTGGGATGACAGTTCTCCTAGCTGGCCTGGGGCAGTGTCCCATCCAAATTAAAAAACTTGAGACACCCCTTTGCCTCAGGGTCTTGCTTCTTCTCCTTGGACATCTTCCGGGAGGATGCTGGGCAGCCCTGAGAAGTTTGTCCCTTCCTTATGTAAGATGCACTGAGACTTTGTTGGGGAGGGCAGTATATCAATCTAATAAATAAATACATTACGCCTACACTAGACATTCTTCAAGTCAGCAAATAGGAGCTTAGCAAGTTATATATTCATCAGTCAGACAAAAAAATGGGCAACTACAGACTCTGAAGCAAATATCTCTGGCTTACATTTCCTTCCCCCCACAAGAGAAGCACATGTCCAGAAACAGCTTTGGTCCCTTGAGGAAGGGGAAAGGAGCCAAACATGGTATTGCACCTTCCCACTCCCTCTTGCAGCCTCTGCCCTCTGCAAAAGTAGTGAAGCCACAGCAGGGCTGTGGGGGTGGAGGGGAAGCATGAGCTGCTCTGTGCAGTCAGCACCCCCTACCCGCCCTCAATCCTCTGCAACTGGAGAGATCGCACACAGCATTAGTCCTTGCCACATTCGTGCTCTCACTCCCACCCACAGCCATAGAAGAGAGAAGCCAACAGCACCATGATGACTGGTTCTTCTAGGCATTGGGGATACTGGTGAGTAGAACCTCTTGGCAGCTGGCCAGACTGTGAGGTGTAGGCACGAATCCCAGAGAACTCCGTCCTCTCCTGCCCTTTGAGGCCTTTCTCCTCATAAGTATCAAGGTGGTTTCAAAGTGTGCATTCTGCCATTCCTTATGAGCCACATGGGTTTTTTTCATTAGTCCATTCCCCTCTATGCCTTTTTCTTTAGGAAAGGAGCACGAGGACCTCACACATTCATGCAGTTGTTTGCCACCTTTGCTTCTTAGAACTGTACTACTGTGAACTGCTATATTCCTTCTTTTCTTTTTGGAGAGCTGACTTGTGTTCATAATAGCTTTCTGCATGGCAAATCCTGTATCCCTTGCTAACTAAATGCCTTAGACCCTTTCCTTTTTCTCTTTCCAGAGATGGGGGAATGGGAGGGAGAGGTTAAGGGTGAAGTTGTGTCATTGTGACAGGCAACGGTGATGGTGATAGACATGTGGACACACAGACACATGGGAGCGCAGACAAGTGGGTGCGCAGTGTGGATATTGTGAGGGGAATGTGTACAGTGTAATTGCAATGGTGTGCTTTGGACTGTCGAGTGAACTATAGTGGCCACAGGACAGGTTGGTAGAAGTATTGTGGTATATACATATTTATTTATGTATATATATAGGAATATATATTTTTGCCTCTACATACACACATACCCTTGCTCTAAGTATTTTATCAGGAGCTATACCTGTTCATAAAAAAAATCAGGTCATACAATCAGGGAATGGAAAATACACCGCAAGACTTTAAGAGACTGACTATTTTCTTATAATTCAATCAGTAAATTCAAAACGGTGAATATCTGAAAGAACACTCATGGGGTATGGTTTATGACCAAACAACAGGCTCTATTGTGTTGGTCAAGCTGTAACCAGTTACTGACTGCTGGACTTGGCCCTTTCTCCTACTGGTGAGTTGTCCATCAAGATTACCCACAGACAGCAAACAGTTCAGTCAGTTCTAGTAAATATGATACTTCACATGATTTTTAATCTGTGGAAGCAGAAGAAAAGTGGTGAGAAAAATAAAACTGGGTGACAAATGCATGAAACAGGACTGAAGGATGAGAAACATGCTAACAGTCATACTGTGCTACACCAATTTTTTAAATAATAAAAAAAAATGGTTTTAAATGGGGTTTGGTTTTGATAATTCAGCACACAAACCAGTGGCCCAATGCAACCCCTGTGCTTTAATTTTTTCCCATATGTTCTCTTGGTTACTAGGAAGCTGGTCAAGTTAAAATGTCTCTGTCTCACCAATGTAGAAAGTGGTCTATATGTCTTGACACGTGGATTGTCCCACAGAGGAGTTCAGGTGCTTTTCATACTCCCTTCCTGAATTTTCGAATACTTCAAATGTTCCAAGCAGTCGCCTGAGCTGCCACAAGAATTCTGGAAAGTTTCTATGCCTTTTCCTGTTGATCCAAATATCAACTTATATATCTTAGAGCTCTTCAATCGCAGTCCTATTCCAGTCAGGAGTTCCACTGATAAATGAGGAAGATATGTTGGATGGAGGAGGCACTTCCACAGCATGAACATCAGGGTAATCTGATCTGCCAGAAACAGCATTACTAATCTTTTCAGTAAAATATCCTGGATTTGCATATGACATCTTTGATCTAACAGATGTCAGCCCTCTGCCACATGGTAGCATTTAGTTCAGCTCTGCTTAGCTAGTTGGTGTAAAGTTAAACTCATGCTTGCTATTTTAATAACATGACCACAAAATGTGTTGCTATATACACTTAATTTTGAGTCCTAGAGAGCAAGGTATGGATTTCTGAATAGGCTCTGCTTTCCTTATATTCAAAAGCATTTATGAGAGAGATAAATGAGGCTAATAACAAGCAGCCAAGGGCCATTGGGATCCTTAAAAATGAGGTTCAGATGGCTGCACAGTGATGGAGGTTCCCCACAGCTCTCGCTGTGAAATGACTGCCAACTGTTAGTACCAGGAGCACACATGCAGCATTAATGTGGGCTCACAAAAGGTAGATTTCCACCACAAATAAACAGCATCAGCCAGAAGATGGTAGAAAGGGGAGGTAAGTGGAAATGGAATGAAATGGGAAATCACAAAGTTGCAAATAACTTGGAGAGTGAGAAGCTTTCAGGCAAGATCATGCCTAGGAAGGGGAAAAAATGAGAATGAGACTCCCCCTACCTCTACTTCTCTGCATGGAAACGTCCCTGCACCTGAGGTCAGGGAGACAGATGGGAAGTAGGTCTGGGCTCATAGGATGAGATAATGGGGAGGGAGAGAAATGAATGGGGGGTAACCTGTTACTGTTACCTGTAATATATAATGTGCCCTTCCACCTCAACCCACTGGGGCTCGGGAGGAGCTCTTCCATCAGAAGGAAATCATCTTAGGTGCAAACATTCAGTGGTTTGAGTCGTTAAAAAATAGAGATTAAAGTAAAAGTATACTTCTAACGCATGCTATGGAAAAGGATTTAAAGGATTGAGTTACTATCCAGAGCTGATGGGTATCTTGGGCTGGGTTGTCAATAGCAAATTTAAATGACTGTGGGTTTCAAACAAAACAAAACAAAACAAAAAACTGATCCTCAATATGTTTTTCAGAAAAAAAAAGAAGGTAGTTTAGAAAAAAACAGTCTAGATAAGTGGGACCCTACCTTTTTGGCAGATATGCCACAAGTTAGCTTCCCCCACCCTGTAGTGTCATTTCAAGCACCTTCCCCCCCTGCCTGATCTGTTGCTCTGCTTTCTGCTTCCTGCCCTAAATGCCATGTGCCGTATACACAGGCTGCCCATGCTACTTGTGAGTGGCATGCCAGAATTTGGTCACCCCTGGTCTGGAACACGGACTTGCTCCTGGAACATGAAGACCACTGAACCTGGTTCAGCAAAGCACTTAGTGTGTTTGCTTTTAAGTGCTTGAGCAGTTCAGTCAAGGTTGAAAGGACTCCTCATAGATTTAGGTATGAATGTAAAGTGCTTAGCTAGCTCAAGGCAAAATGCTTAGCACTTTGCAGCATCAAGCCCTCTCCAGCTAGTGTAACATGTAATCCAGGTCTAGGAGTACCATGAGTTGAAAAATACCAATCTATTTTTACAGGAAAAATTAAATCTTATAATAACACTTCTCTTGAAAATGCTCGTTTTTTTTAACCAAAAAAAAAAAAAGATCAGACCCCCAAAACCTGAATGTTTTTGGTTTTCAGTAAAATTTTCTGGGTTATGGTAAAATTTCTAGTTGAAAGTTTCTATTTTACATCAAAAAAGGAAGGGAAATCTCACATACCTTTTGTGGAAACCCCCCTTTTTCACCAGTTATCTTTTGACGAAGGCTTTTCACAGCCAGCTCTACCAATGGACCACTTCATGAAGGCTGAAAATGGACATGCAGACTCACTTCCCTGTGCCAACCTGGCTTCTCGCTCTTCACAGGGTAATATATCTCAGCAGACAATGTTATGACTCAGGGGTTAAAGTAAATAGATGTGGAGAAAAGAGAGACCCAATTTCCCCTCTTTCTCCTAAATATCTAAGGGACATCCCTTACCACTCTTTAGTTATATAAGGAATACATAGAAACCTGACTCAAAAAGAGCCTCCTGGGTCATTGTGTCTAGTCCCCTGCATTCACAGGCACCATTTAGCCAAAGATTTCCCAAAATCATCTACTCTAACCTCTCATGCACCACAACAGCT